TGTAAACATTTAACAAGATTTGTGCATTTGTAACCATAATCACATAATCCCCGCTATTCTGAATATTTCCAGGGTAAAAGTTTCTCCCAAAATTCACTTCTCTCTAGAATAGAATTCCCCCTATTCTGAATTGTTTGAGAGACTGATGTTGTGGGAACAACAAAAAATTCAAATTTGTTTTATTGAGCTTTGGCAGCATTTGCATTTTTAAATTGCGATAAGTACGAAAATAAGAAGCAAAACAAACAAATGAAGAGAATTGCAAATTAGTTAATTTTATTTAAATTAAAAAATTTGAATTTTTATAATGTATTCAATTGAATTTCATAAAGAATATTTTAAATATATAATTAAAAACTTTTATTTTAATCATTTAATTTATTTGTTACATATAAAATATTATAACAATTTATTTTAATTTTTTTTTTAGTAGCAAAAAATACTAGCAACATACGAAAGAAAACATGTGAAGTCACAACAATGTTTTTAAAATCTTCAGAGTTAGGTTTAGTAACTTAAGACGTTTACTACTTAAACGTCTTTAATTTTAGTCTAAGTTAAGTTCAGTTTATGTTCACTGGAAATATGTTGCAAAACTCTAGTCATCCCTTAAAATCGTATAATCAGATATAATAACAAATGTGTGAGTCGAAGCTACAAGTTGCTCAAAGTCAGGCTTTCCGGACTCTTCAAAGTACCATGCTACATCCGGACCAATGACATGCTAAGAGACCTTAAAACAGATCTGGTAATATAGCCGTGAAGCTATATGCGAAAATCAAGAGGCTGCCCTACTTAGCACTATTTAATCTCGGAGTAATCATTAACCGGACGGGGCGGTACGTAGATCTTAGATCAGTCATTGAATAATCACGAAGCTTATGAGGAATACACAAATTTGGGTGGGACTCTGCAGAAACCCCCCAGTTATCAAAGAGTAAAAGTGCTCAGATGGACTAACTCGGAAAAAATTCAACATAATAATGTTTACTGATGTAGGCAGTGTTGTCAAGTTATTTTTAAGCTATTCTATTAGATCGTTCATGTCTAAAGAAAACATCTTATCTGAATAGTCTAAGAATATAAACAAGCTTATTTCAACTCAACAAGAAGAATTTGAAATTTGTGAAATTCATATAGCCTTTTTCGTAGCAGTATTTAGAATAATTTATAGTTATTTACATATTTACGGACTGTTAAAAAATTATATATTTTTCGCATATTTTTATACCAGAATGATTAAGTAATTTTTAGATATATTTTCTGCATTTTCTTTTATAATAATTGTTTTTTCTTTTTAATTTGTGCCTAAATGCATAAACTTTTAAAAGCATAGCACTTTGCTCAAGATTATTATGTTGTTGAAGTCCGGATTGTGTTGTTTTATTGTGTTAATGCTGAAACAGAGTTGTGGTATGATAACTTTTATTTACTTCAAAGATGTGTTAATCTGTAGTAAATATAAATCGGAATTAAAATTAACTTTTCGGCTGATATTCGGTACTTTATTTATGCTTCTATGAGTAATACATTCAAATGTGATTAAACTTTAAAATAATTTACATATTATATATGTATTCGTATAAAATAATATTTATTTTAAAAAATTGTTCACATTTGAAATATATAACTACATATTTAATGAAACTGTATTATGGTATAAAATATATAGGAGTTTTAGTAATAATACTGAAGTTGGTCAACGAAGAGATCGAAATATTTGTTTATAAATTATATTATATAAGTTAACAGCTGTGATATTTTTTATTTAATTTTAAGTTTGTTTTCTATATAATATGATTCATTATATACAAATATAAATTTAAAAACACGACCTAAAGTCTGCCAAAATTTAAACATATAACATATATATATAATATGCATACATATACATATATACAAGATAAGGAAACGGTAATGATTCTCAAAACATTTATTCAGCAAACTTGTGCAATATATTGTATTGACCAATCTTTTTAATTTAAGAATTTAAGTGTATCAAAATAAACAAAATTTGTAGAGTGTCTCTTTAATTCGTATGTAATATTTTCGCATTTTTGAATATGTAATCCATTTTTACATTGGTTCCATATATAAATATCGGATATAGTGAATTTATAGTGCAGTTATTTAGAATTTAAACAGCTGTTAGAGGCAGTATATACTTTTTTTTCAATGAAAGTAAGAAATTGTAACTGTGTTATTGTCACAGTGTAAGTTTCAAATATCAAATAAGGTCAAAATACAGCCCAATAACTCAAAAAAATATTCTGCTATCACCAAGGCTCTTAAAGTCAAAAAAACCGAGTTCCATATTTATAAACTTAAACAAGATAGCAGGTTTAACATAGTTTTGACAGGCATGCATCCTCCAATGCCAGTCGATGAAATCGAAGAGACGATAAAGAGCTTTGGTTTCAAGGTGACCAAAATAAGCAATATATGTCAGTGATCAACTAAAACCTCACTGCCGTTGTTTTTCATTGGTTTGAATCCTTCTGTTACAAATAAGATTATTTTAAAGTGCAACAGTCTACTGCGATATTGATAATTTTGTGCGCATCACACAGGTAAAACCATTTCTTCAGTCAATAGCAATAATAGTCAAAAAGAATAAAGGTCTAATTTGCATAACCTCTATCTATTGCCTACCAAACCAAAAAATTAAAAGTCATCAGTTTGAGGCAACAACATTACCAGCTCTCATGCTCACGACTGGGCATACGACATGTTTCACCTGGGGACTACTTGTACACCGGTGGGCATATAGCGGACTTAGTTAATTTGACATAGCCTCATTTTAAAACGATTTTTTTTAAATCAAATCAATATACGTAATTAACAATCAAAAAAATGCCGGTCCCTATGTGTGATATAAGATTTTTCAATGCGGTCTTCAACGTGTTAAAGACAAAATTACAAATTCTTTCAAATATATTTGGAATTTTTAACTCATTTAAACGGAGCGTTAAGAGTTTTTGGTGGTGTGCGATGGCAAGAGAAAGTCCTTCGTATTAATAGTAGGAATAGTGGTACACTGTCCTTTGATAAAGATTTCTACGTTAATCTGAACTAATTAACTCCATTAACAAAATTAAAAATGTATCTCAGATCTGCTCGTTTTTCGTGTCAATGCTCGCCCATCTTACGAGTACGTAAGAGGAGAGAAAGCGTCACTCTGCATTACATCGAATTTGTTGATGTTGGTGTCTTTAAAATGTAACTATTTTAAGAGATAATAAATAATAGACGCATATTCAGTTAAGAAATCAGTGTTTTATTTGAGTTTATATTTATTTAGATTAAAGAAATTATCAACATTTTGGTGTGTTTAACTCGAACTATTTTAAATTACTTACATTCGATGTTTTTTAGTACAGATGCAGTTACACAAGTGAATGTACCGTAAAATATTCGAATAGTATGAACCTTTTTTGGACATTGCAAAATGATTCGAGTCATTTTATATATCGCTTATATCCGATATTGTCGCTTAAATTATATTATATTTTTTAGTACAGATACAATATGGCAAGTAAATAAACCGTATAAACATTCGAAGCGTATAAATGAAGTTAGTGTACATTCCTACACAAGCTTGCCAGATCATATGTTATGCCAGATCTTAAATTCCTTACTAGAGTATTCAAAGACGTGTTACTTTATAAGAAACTTCGTTAATAGGATTTCAATTATTTCGTTATGGAGAAGATTTTTCATACTGCACATAAGATTTGTTTTAATTTTAAAAGTTATTTTCTTTAATAATTATACTAATTATATTTTCTGTAAAGCCATAGTAATATGTTTGTTAAATTTCTGTCCAAACAAACAAAAATGCGAAAACAATCTACATCCTAATCTTTTTTTGTTGCTAGCTCTTGAACCATATAAAACCATTTGGATACTAAATAAAATATAGTAAAATATGTTTAAGTTTATTCGTAAGAAAGGTTTGAATATTTGCAGAATTAATGTTATGTTATTTTGATATGAATAAATACATAACTAAAGCTAATATACATTAAATTAGCATTCCTTTTAAAGAAATAATTTTTTTTTTGGTTGCTTATATTGCTGTATTCATGGATACTTTTTGATAATTTTTTAAACATAAAGCGATGTGTGTGGCAGTGGAACGAAGTTTGTCATACAAATTTACTATTTTACTCTTTATGTATTGAGTTGATGACCAGAATTTAAAAATAAAAATATTTATAATATATATATGTATACATATGTATTATTATAATATATTATATATACTTATTATAAAAAAGTTGTAGAAATTTTGTGCTGCAGCAAAATAATTCTTCAAAAATAAATTTAATTTATTTTATAAGTGGAATTGCTTCAATACGTAACGTATTGCCGGTTAAAATTGTCGAGAAATTCGATATTTTATTTAATTTTATTATACATCAATCATTGTGTATAGATTCAATTTAATTATTAATACGAAGTATTAATACGAAATAAAAGAAAAATTCCATCTAGACTTATAGAAATATGTCATGTGAATCGACGTCCTATATTGCTCTAAGCAGTTCTACATTCAACATTTTTAAATAAGTGAAACAATCGCGAAAATCTCTTTAGAATTCCATCTAGACTTATAGAAATATGTCATGTGAATCGACGTCCTATATTGCTCTAAGCAGTTCTACATTCAACATTTTTAAATAAGTGAAACAATCGCGAAAATCTCTTTAGAATTCCATCTAGACTTATAGAAATATGTCATGTGAATCGACGTCCTATATTGCTCTAAGCAGTTCTACATTCAACATTTTTAAATAAGTGAAACAATCGCGAAAATCTCTTTAGAATTCCATCTAGACTTATAGAAATATGTCATGTGAATCGCCGTCCTATACTACTCTAAGCAGTTCTACATTCAAAATTTTTAAAAAAGTGAAACAATAGCTAAAATCTCTTTAAAACTGATTTATTGATTGATTTATTAATTTATTTTCATTAAGTCGTAAACTCAACACAAAATGGAGTGCATTTCATTCTACTTAAATAAAGTTTTAATATTCGGCTGCGTGTTTTCACTTTATTTATTGCCTTCAATTTTGGCACAAATACCAAATTGTGAGTTCCACGATACTGTCAACATAACTGGAAGTTCTCGTTTCGCCAACGGTTCCTATTTGCATGATGGAGTAATTATACCACCTGAACTCATCGGCGAATATAGTATTGAGGTGCTGTATAAGGGTCATGAATTGCCTGTAGAGAAGCATATACGTGGTTGCATCTGTAAACTAAGAACTTGCGTTAAATTTTGTTGTCATCCACCACAAACAAAAATAAAGGACCTAAGAGAATGTGAGACCGGAATAGAGAATGAACTTGAACTGTCACCTTACGTGAATATTACTTTTAATAATGGTACGGAAAAGAGTATACCCGTTTTAGAAGAATTTTCTATTGTAGTAGGAATACCATGTCATAATGCTTACAAGTTAATACCAGACGATCCCGACGATGAATGGAAATTATATGAGGTACGTAATGTATTGGTTTTATAGTATTTATGATGTATTTACCATATTTATTTACTATATTAATAGTCGAGCTATTTTTTTTCAAGCAGAGCAAACTAACATAAAATGCTTTTAGGTGTTTTTTTAAAGTGTTGTTGCAGGTAAATGGTTGGTTTTGTTATTTTTTATTTAATAAATATTGCAATTACAAATCTGACTTTGTATTTTTATAAATTATTAAAGTTATATAAAATAAAATCTAAAATAAGTACTCATTTAAATAAGTACGGACTTATTTATAATCACTGCTGGTAATATCAGTGTGCTTTGCGGTTTTTTTATCTCGCCGTGCTGTGATGACAGCAGAATTTTTAATGGGAGCGGTTCCAAGTACTCCAATGTTTGGTAGTGTCACTGTCATTTTTAGTGTGCTTTCTACCGCACAACTGCTTGATGCTACTGATTGTGGTTGGAACCTCTCGATCGCGGAGTTCCTCCTCAGTGCATCCAGTTCGGCACATTGAGCGGAATGTGAGACTTGTTAAGTTTTCATAGAACGGAAATGGCTACTTCTTCTGAGATCCATTTCTGCAAGATTTCACTCCGCATATTTTCTGGTATTTTATGATCTGGAACTTTACCGGTCTCGGTTCTAATGCCTAATCATTGACTTGAAACCTCATTTCATTCTTTCAACAGTGGTGCGTGCTCCAGTGCTCTTATAAATAAGAACGGCGATTACTCGACTTGTCACAGGGGTTCACAGGGTCATTATGACATCTTTCAACGCCTGCTGAAATTAAGTTACCTTTTATGATAGGCATGCTTTACCTCAGAAATATTCTAATCCCTATTCCTAATAGTACTTGGTATGTTATCCTTCATTTTGACCAGTCTAATTAGCGTAGTTCTATACAGCATATAGCATTAAGTTGAAAGCTTACGTCCGCACTTCTTCAGACAGCGAAGTCACGAAAGTCCACTTTTAATTGTTTGGAGAATATAAACTTATAACCCATATTGTCAGATACCATAAGATAAGCATTTTAAGTATTTTTAGTGTAGCTGTCTTTTCAAGTCAGTTAAGATTTGCACAACCCTGTAATGCCCGAATATCCTGTTGAGAGAACTTTATTTATTGCTTTTTGAGTTTTAGTTTTTAAAAATAATAATATGCTTATGTGGCTACGAAATCTATTTTGGATAATGATATATACCTATTTATATAATATGCACTAAATATAAGATCAAAATAATTACATGCATAAATCTTAATAAAAGAACGGCACGATGAAGCGCTTATATGACAATGCTATTCTGTCAAGACGTGATTACTGCTTAGCACCACATAACAGAAGTGATGTGTACTCATTCACTCCAATGAATTGTCCAAATGCTGTTGTAGAGCCAGATAATCTATTCGTCGACAGTGTAGGTAGGTACGAATAAATGAATTTATTATCAATAATTCAAAAATTTTATATTGGTATCTATATACTTAAAAATAAAAATACAAATAATTACAGCAATGCTAATATCCATACCTTTTTTTGTGTTGACAATTTTGGTGTATGCATGCCTACCGAAGTTAAGGAATTTGCATGGGAAATGCCTAATATGCTACTTAATTTCTTTAACATCTGGATATAGTCACTTGGTAATGAACAACTTTTACAGCACATCTTATAGTGATTTCAAATGTACTTTTTTGGGTGAGTAAATAATGTATCACAATTCAATTTAAGAATTAAAGCCAATAATTTATTTTACTAACAGAATTAATATATCTTTTTTAGGATTTACGGGTTATTTCTCCTTTATGGCTGCATATTTATGGTTAAATGTGATAAGTATTGATCTTTGGCATAATTTTCGACTTATCAACTGTAATGTAAATCGTTATATTAAAAACAAACGCTTTACTGTTTATTCTCTTTATGCTTGGGGCATGGCTGGAGCTCTAACGTTGTTAACTCTTAAGGCACAATATTCTGATTTTGATTATAGTTTAAAGCCTGGGATTGGTGATCAGTTTTGCTGGGTTAAACGTATGTAAAGTAAAGTAAATTATTATTTATATATTAAAATTTTTTATGTATTTGTAGACGACGATTGGTCAGCTATGATATACTTTTATGGGCCGATGATGCTACTAATATTCTTCAATATAATTATGTTTTCACTGATATCAATTAATATTTATAATGTTAAAAAGGGATTAAAACATTTTGCACATAATGAAAACAGTGAAAAGTATCTACAATCGCAAAAGGAGAAGTATGTTTATGAAAGCCATTAAATTAAAAATGTTTACCAGGTATACCGGTATGAAATGAGCGTTTTTTGGTGAAAACATAACACTAATTATTAATAGGAAAGTAAAAAACATTTTATTCAAAGTATTGGCCATTGCTTTCTACACATTTTGATCACCTTTCTGGCAATTTGTGGATACCACGCCAAAAAAATTGTTCGTCTTTTAAAGCAAACCAACCAGACACCCAATTTTCGAGCTCCTCGTAGGAATCAAAGTGCTGCTCAGCCAATGCGTGTCCCATCGATGAAAACAAATGGTAGTCGGAAGGAGCCAAGCCTGGTGAATACGGCGGGTGGTGTAGCAGCTCCCAGCC